AAAAAAAAAAAAAAAAAAAGAAAACTGGGTAAGGGGTAGTATGATGGGGGAGGGGTCTGTTTTAGACAGGATGACCCGAGAAGGCCCCTCTGAAGAAGTGACACTTGAGCAGAGACCAGAATGAGGGAGACTCTGGGAGAAGCACAGACACTAATGGGGTAGATGGCCAGTGTATATTGCCAAGGGAGAAAAACTATTTGAAAAAAACTGTAATAAAGCCAAAAACACATTCTTTACTCACACACACATACATTACTACAACTTAGATAAAAGTCTGGAAGGGTATACGCCAAATTCATGAATGTAATTGTCGCAAGATGGCAAAGGGACGCCAGAACTAGGACTCATGGTAGGCTTTGGCTTGCCTCTAATATTTGCATTTTAAAATATTTATTTAAAATGTTAATATCTTCACTGTTAAAAGGTAAATATGATACATAAAACTTGTGAAATTAAAAGAATTTTAAATAGGGCTGGCCCGTGGCTTACTTGGCCGAGGCGGAGCTGATAACACCAAGGCCACGGGTTCGGATCCCTATATAGGGATGGACAGTTAGCTCACTTGGGAAAGCGTGGTGCTGACAACACCAAGTCAAGGGTTAAGATCCCCTTACCGGTCATCTTTAAATAAATAAATAAATAAAAATAAATAAATAAAAGAATTTTAAAAATCTACCATGGCGGAGGGGGTCAACTTCCGGGGCAGTGAAGAACCTAACCCTACACACTGCCTTTCACCAGATCCAAGTTCCTGGGCGCAGGGGTTTGTTTGGGGAGCAGACACATGGGAGCCCAGAAGAGGCAAATAGCCAGGAGGGTCCTGGAAGCTTCTTGGAGGAGGTGTTTCCTTTGCTGAGGACCCCAGCACTCTCCTTTGGCTCAGTACCCTCAGTGCAGACATGGAGAGGCCATAGTATGGGCAAGGTCATGAAGCAAGAGCAGATAGAGTAAGTAGAACGTGAAACTCCAGGCTCCCAGCCAGGTCTCTTTCTCAAGCCTGAACTCCTGGCTCCTCTGGGCAAGGGATGGGCCTTCCTTAGACAGGCACCTCCATCCAGCCCCTTCCCACTGCAGTTGCTCTGCAGGACAGAGACCCAGACCTGGTCTGGGGGCAGGAAGGCAGCGCCACCTGCTGGTGTAAGAGGGAAATACAGCCCTCAGACCCCACTGAGAGTGACCAGCAGGTTATACCCTTAAAACCTAGCTGCCCTTTCCCTAAGTGACCAATATCTTCCACTCAAAGTCTGTTCTGCACCTCCCTCCCAGTCCCTAGCAAGGCCCTTAGTGCTGCCTGGTTGGGTTTTCTCTGCAAGGAGGAAAAACCTTTTCAGGAGGGGATGACACTTTCACTATTATTACAGGCCAGTGGGTGCAGGAGGGGTTCACTCACGTGAGACAGGGGCACCTCACAATAGCAGTTTCCAAAAAGCATGTCCTAATCACAGATACAAACCTTAGGGGTAGACAGTCCATTTGACAGGTTGGGAAAAGTCCCCAGGGAAGGGAAAGACTTGCCCAGTGTCACAGTGAGTACACAAACTGGTCCCAGAACACAGATCTCCGGGGGACCAGCCCAAGGGTCTTTCCTCTACATTGAGTGTCCCCATATGTGAAAATAATTGATGCAGTTTAAATAAGTAGTTCTCAGCTTATGGTCCAGGAACTTGTTAGAAAGGCAAATTTTCAGGCTCCACCCCAGATGTACTGAATCAGAAACTGGGGGTGGAGCTTAGCAATCAGTTCTAGCAAACCAGCTTGAGAACCTGAACCACTGGTCTAAAGCAACTGCACAACACTCTCTTTTTTATTAAATAAACTTTTATTTGGGAATAATTTTAGATTTACAGAGAGGTTGCAAAGATAGTACAAAGACTTCCTGTATACTCTTCACCCAGCCTACCTCAACATCCACATCTTACATAACCATGGTATATTTGTTAAAACCAAGAGACCAACATTGGTATAATATTATTAACTAAAATACAGGCTGTATCCCATATCCAGTTTTCTCACTAATGTCCTTTTTTTTTTTTTTTTCGTTCTAAGATAAAATCCAGGATAGCACATTGCATTCAGGATTATATCCCTTTTAAATTCTATTCATCACCTCAGTCATCTTTCCCTGGGACACAGAATGGGTGGGAAAGCTGTTGTCCTCATTATTCAGGTGGGGACACCGAGGCTTGAAAATACCAAGTGACCGAGTTCTCTTAGAGGGTAGAGGGAGCAAGGCCCATCTCACTCTGTAACCTTCCTCTACGTCTCTCCCGCCCCCAGGACTGTTGGTTTTCAGAAGTCCCTCTGGAACATCTCACCTGGCCCACCCCATCCCACCAGTGCAGACAATGAGAGATGCCCCTACTAGAGTGGGCCCACTCCTTGGACAGAGCCACCCCCTGCTCCATCACCTCTTCCCCTAGATCCTGATGGCCAGGCCGATGTCTCAGTGACTTCAGACAGGGCACAGCAAGACCCTGTGCAAGAGGGAAAGAGAGAGAAATACTGTTTGCCTACCCCAAATTATTTGTGATAGATGAACAATGGCCACAGGTTCTTTGTAGTTCCTCCCATCAAGAGGTGTAGTCTGTTTCCCATCCCTTGAATCTGGGCAAAGCCTTGTGATTTGCTCTGATCAAAATAACTTAGCAGAAGTGACATTGTCCCAGTCCCAGTCCCAATCCCCAACTCAAGAAGTCTTGCAGCTTTGACTCTTGCTCTCTTGGAATCCTGATGCCACCATATGAACAAGCCTGAGCTAGCCTACTAGAGAGGCCCCACATGGAGCAGAACCAAAGTCACCCCAGCCAACAGCCTGTCACTTGCCAGACAAGTGAATAAGGCTAGCCTAAACCATCCAGCCCCAGCTAAGGTGACAGCTGACTGCAGCCCCACAAGAGACCCCAGGTGAGACCAGCAGAACTGCCCAGATGTGCACAGCCCGAACTGCCAACACAGAGAATTGTGAGCAAATAAATGACTTGTTTTTAGCTGCTAAGTCTTGGGATGGTATGTTACACGGCAAAGGCTAACTGATACACAATCCCTCATCTCTCTCTTGATAATGGGATCCCAATTTTATTTCAGGAGGCAGTGTGCTAGTCCCAGGAGATGGAGCATGATTGGTCTACTCGGCCATGACAGTCCTGTTCCCTGCCATCTTAGCCTTCTCTGTAGCAATGGTAGCTGACGCAGGCCAAGGATATCTAAGTGGAAACATGCGAGGGAGAGAGCAGGAAACAGGCCTCTGGCAGAGGTTTTATTTGTGATAGAAGGTGACAGACCCAGCTAGCTTGACCCTTCTGCTTCCCCCACTCCTTTCTTCCTTGACCACAGATATGATTCCTGGAGATATAGCATGACTATGAAGTAACAAGCCTGGACAGCAAGGCAAAAGGATCACAGATGTGAGCCCTACCCTCCCTGCATCATGAACTGCATCAGCCACCTGTCTCCAGAATACACACTATGTGGAAAAACAAACCTCTCTTTGCTTAAGCTGCTATAACCTAGACTTTCCTTTACTTGCAGCGGAACATAGTCTACATAAGGGATATACAAAGACAAAAATGCAGAAAGATCCTTGTCCTTGAGAGTTTGGAGCCAGCAGCATGTAGCTCTTCTAACCTGTCTCCTTTCTTATTTCGTCCTCTTGATAATCCTTCAAGGGTAATGTCACGATTGCATTTCTGCAGAGGTGGGAACTGGGACTCCCACACTGTTCAGGATGAGTCCAAGGCCTTGTAGCTAGCGAAGAGGGGGCCTGGAGCCAGATCCTCCCCCCAGATGCAGAGAGGATGCACTCCTGCTACACCTTCTGCATGACCCAGTCCACTGGAGGCCAGGTGTGTCTTCTGGGCTCTTGGGGGTGGTGACAGCAGGTGACAAGGAGGTGCTACTGCAAGTTCGGCGTGGAGGCACCCAGGTACACTCTTAGGTCTGAAAGGGTAGACTGGACAAGCTTGGCAGGGATGGTCTCTTGCTGCAGCTGCTGGTAGGCCGCATAGCGGTGGCAGCCCCCGAAAGAGTAGAAGTAGTCACCACCCTGGGCCCCTTTGATCCAGAGGACGTCAATGGGGGGCACGCTTTCTGGGTCCTCCTGGAGAGAAGGAACACAGGGTAAATGGCCATGGTACAATGCTTGCCATTTTCCAAAGCAGACTTTGTCAATATGGATGGAGCTCCCACAGGGTGCTCATATGGGCTTGAGAGAGACAATTGCTAAATATCCAGAAATTTTGTGAGCTGATTAACATGACTTTTTTAGCTTGAAAATCAGCCATGGTGACAGTATTTACACCAGGAAAATGGGCAGTTGCTACAAATCAGAGATTTTTCTCCCCTAAAGACCAGGTTGTTATTAAACATTTATCAATACACTACAATACTACACATCTGGACCTGTTCTAGACTCTGGGAATAAGGTGCAGCCAGAATGAGACAGACGTAGCCCCTGCCTTCATGGGGCTTAGTCTAGTGTGGCAGATGGAACAAAGAAGAGAATGTTAGAGTGATAAATGCCATGAAGAAATAACGCAGGTGACATGACAGTGATAGGGGGTCCACAAGGCCTCTCTGAGGTGACAATGAAGCAGAGATCCACCTGGAGTCATAGAGAAACGGAATAGTTTAGATGAAGAGGACAACTGCCTGCGTTTGAATCTCAGCTCTGCTACTTAACAGGCATGTGACCTTGGGTGGTTCACCTCTTTGTGTCTCAGCTGTCCCATTTGACAAAATGGGGATAAGGATAACAGACCCACTGCACAGAGTTGTTAGGTTAAATGAGTTAATATTTATAAAGCGCTTTGAGCAATGCTCGGCACATGGAAAGCACTCAGTAATGTATGGTGTGTATTACGTGAGGGAAGAGACTTCCAGGCAGAAGGAACAGCAAATGCAAAGGGCCTGAGGCCAGAACAAGTTCACCGTGTTGGAGGCACAGCAAGAAGGCCAGTGTGGCTAGAAGTGGACTTAAGGGGTCAAGGAGTGGAAGAGATCAGAAAGGTCAGCAGGAGCCAGATGATGCAGGTTTGTTTCTAAGAGCAGTGGGTAGGCCATGGAGCATTTTAAACAGGAGAGGGTGATGTGATCTAATGAACATTCTAGAAGGTTGTCACAGGGGAACAGGGTTGGTGGGGTGGACCAGGGCACAAGTAGGGAGGCCAGAAGCAAGGCCTCTGCAGGTGTTCAGCAGAACATGCTGGCCTGGATGGTGGTGTGGTAGGTAGGGACAAGGAGAGGTAGACAGGTTTGGGACACATTTAGAGGGCAGATCTGAGAGATCTTGCAGAAGAGGTGGATGTGAGGACAAGAGAAAGAGGAGAATCTAAGTTGATTTCCTGTTAGCGGCCTGAGGAGCCAGGTGAAGAGTGGGTCATCCACCCAAGCAAGGAAAGCCTAGGGCAGGATGGGGTCTGGGGTAGAACACACTGGGGAGACCCCATGAAGTAAGTGCAAGCTGCCTAGAAGGCTATTGGCCCATGGATTCTTTCTAATGCTGCTTTGATGAATGTCCCGACCCGCGGGAATTGGGAGTTGGTCTATGGAACCTGGAAGGGGGAGTGGGTAGGACAAGAGACGCAAAGGAAGGGAGCAAGACAGAAGTCTGATCAAGCCCCGTTTAATAAGGGAAGTAAGCTCCTTTTATAGAAACTCACAGGTGCAAGAGAACAAAAAACAATGGGTGGGGGTGGAGGTCATGAAGAGTTCTTGTGTAACCATCTTTTCTCGTTTTCTCGGGTATCGGGTATCAGGTATCGCTGTTACCATCAGTTCTTGACAGCGTAGCTTAGGTCAAAATGTTGCGGTTAGGCAAAACAATCACAGCATGCAGCCCTCCCAGGAAGGGTTGCAGCATCAGCTCTTTCCGGGCTCTTGTCCACTGCTACTTCAGCGGTCTGTCCCATTTGGCTCCTTAGCTTAGGGGGTCATCGTGAGGACACCCAGTTCCCCACAGATGAATTCATTCATCCATATATTCCACAAATGGTAATTAAACAGGAAGGCACAGGAGTTACAAGACAGGGCTCTGGAACCTGGCAAACCTGAATTTGAATCTCAGCTTTTCTACAGAGCAGCTGGGGACCCTGAGCAAGTGGCCTCACCTCTGTGAACACTGTTCCTCATCTGTAAAATAGGAATAAGACACCCAATAGGGCTGCTAATGGAGCATTGATGAGCTGATGCAAATGAGGTGTTAGTGGACCACTAGCAAGGGGCAGCTGAGCCAGGCAGGCCTTGTGCTGGGTGCATGATGGTGGGTTGGCAGAATAATGGCTCCCTAAGATGCCACCTCCTAATCCTTGGAGCCTGTGAATATGTTATCTTACACGGACTTGGCAGATGGAATTAAGTTAAGGATCTTGAGATGGAGAGAACATCCTGGGTTATCCAGAGGGGTTGAATGTAATTGCCAGGGTCCTTAAAAGTGGAAGAAATCGGTAAAGGGACATGAAAATCAACTACATTGTATATTGGTCAAGTAAAATTTTAAAAAGAAAAAGTGGAGGAGGGAGGCAGAAGAGGAGGTCAGAGTGATTAGACATAAGAAAGACTTGACCTGATGTTGCTGCTGGCTTTGAAGATGGAGGAAGAGTCCACAAACCAAGGAGTGTGGGTGGCCTCTAGAAGCTGGAAATGGCAAGGAAATGGATTCTTGCCTACAGCCTTCAGAAAACAATGCAGACTCAGGGATACCTTGATTTTAGCCCAGTCAGACTCATTTTGGACTTCTGAACCATAGACTTATACAATAATAAATTTGTGTTGTTCTAACCCACTAAATTTGTGATATTCTGTCACAGTGGCCACAGAAAACGAATGCAAATGGTCAGTAAGCAAAGGCAGATCCAGTTCTTGCCCTCTCTGAGCACACACTTTGAGAATGGAAGAATGGTATCTAACCGGGCCATTAAACCCCAGTGGGATCAGAGCTACGCTGGCAGGCACACAGGTGGCTGTGAGGCCACAGGAGACCCTTTAGCTAGTAGGGGCAGTCAGGGAAGACGATGAGACAGGGAGGAGTTTGAAGCGATAAATAAAACATGTTTCCTAACAGGAAAAAGCCTGTGCAAAGGCCCGTGGTAGGAGAGAGCATGCATGGCTAGACCCCTTCCTCCCACAAAAAGCCAGGCACTATGCTAGTGTTGTGGCAACAGCCGAGATATAACAAAGTCCCTCCTCTTGTGGAGTTCATATGAAATGGGGAAGATGGCAAGCAAATAAATGTATAATATAATTTCTGGCAGACATAAGTGCTATACAGAAAAATACTTCAGGCTAAGGGGAGAGGAGAGAAGCCGGGGCTCTATTAGCAACGGTGGTCAGGGAGACGGGAGCGCCACCGCGCTTCCCAAGCGGCGTACTATCCAGTGCGCCACCGGGCCGGCCCAAGGCAAATCCAGTTCTTGCCCTCTCTGAGCACACACTTTGAGAATGGAAGAATGGTATCTAACCGGGCCATTAAACCCCAGTGGGATCAGAGCTACGCTGGCAGGCACACAGGTGGCTGTGAGGCCACAGGAGACCCTTTAGCTAGTAGGGGCAGTCAGGGAAGACGATGAGACAGGGAGGAGTTTGAAGCGATAAATAAAACATGTTTCCTAACAGGAAAAAGCCTGTGCAAAGGCCCGTGGTAGGAGAGAGCATGCATGGCTAGACCCCTTCCTCCCACAAAAAGCCAGGCACTATGCTAGTGTTGTGGCAACAGCCGAGATATAACAAAGTCCCTCCTCTTGTGGAGTTCATATGAAATGGGGAAGATGGCAAGCAAATAAATGTATAATATAATTTCTGGCAGACATAAGTGCTATGCAGAAAAATACTTCAGGCTAAGGGGAGAGGAGAGAAGCCGGGGCTCTATTAGCAACGGTGGTCAGGGAGGCAGAGACCCAAACCAAGCAAGGGGCAGGTCCTGTGGATATCTGAGGAAGTGGCTCCAGACAGGGGGGTAGCGCAAATTCTAGGACTGAAAGATATCTTCTCTGGCCGTACAGGTGTTTGGTGGGGCTTAGGGGTCTCAGGTGTTCATCTTCTAAGGGTCTGAGAGAAGAGGACATATAGGCCTAACCTGACACATACTGGTATGTTCCTGCTCTGCCACCTCCCTTGCCCCGCCAAGTTCCTGCCAGGATCACTCCAGCGTTCTTGAACACCCTTTTCAAGTGATAGGGCTGCCCCTTGTCCTCTCCCACTTCCGGTTCAGACAAGGCCCTCCCAGCAGACATGACACACCCAGTCCCACTGCCACTGACTGTCGCAGCCAGAAGGGACCGTACAGCTTATCTCCGGACAGTGTGGTGGCCATGCAGCTGAGCACTGGGGCCACGCTGCCTGGGTGTGAATTCCGGCTGTGCCACTTTCTAATGCCCGACCTTGGATAAATTGCTAAAATCCTCCCGTTCCTCGGTTTCCTGTCTTTTACAGCATTTACCCTATAGGGTTGGCCTAGGCAGCTAACAGTCTTAAAACAGCTCCCGGGCCACTGCAGGCGCTATGTTTATAATAGCTAGCGATCATTATTTTAATTATCTCGTCCAATCACCTCCCTCCTTGCTCAAGTGAGGAAACAGGCCCAGAGAGGCCCAGGCACTTGCTCAAGGTCACACAGCAAATGCTGAGCTCCGGCGGAGTCCGGAACCGGTCCCGTCTCGCGTCCGGCGCGTCCTCCCTCCTCCAGAGCCCTCCCCCCGGCTGGCCGGCCTCCCCGGGGTCTCACCCGGATCGTGTCCACGAGGCTCTGCACCTTGGCCGGGTCCAGCACAGACGGCAGCGGCCGGATGAGCACGCTCAGCGGCACGTTGTGCACCGCGGCGATGCAGCCC